TTTTCAATGCCAGAGGTCTCGCCTCTTGAGAAGAACATGATGATAGTTTCTTGTAAACCTATAAAACGACTAAACCAACACATGGACAACAGGATTAAAGGATTGTCTGGTTTGGTTCTAAAAAAAAATAAAAAATGTTGTTCTGAAGTACTTGCATTCAGTCCTGGAAGTGGAATTATTTGGGCCAAAGGACATTTTTCAGTAACATATGGCAGCTCTACTCTTCCAAGCAGGCGATTATTTCCAACTGAAAAACATGAAAAGCACTCTGTAGACTTATTTATATATTTGATAAAAATCTAATATTTTTACAAGCATCCTCTTCCCCACATTTTGCCCACTTCCGTCGCTCTATCGATCTTTTCTTCATCTGGTGGATGGTGCATCATCGGCAGCTCACCTTTCCACCCACCCGACGGCTCTGTGAGCATCATCAGAGCCCTGCGAGCACTTACACGCAAGTTCATATGATTAATCCCACACCTCGCTCAGAAGTGATCACACCCCCAGTTGATGAACAATGCTGTTCCTAAGCAACTGATCCTCTCGGCGAGGGGTTTGCATGTTCTCTGTGTGTCTGCTTGCGTGGGATTCCTCCAGGCGCTTCACTTTCCTCCCACAATCCACAGACAGGGAGCTCAGCTGGAGCGAACACTTTGAATTACCCGACGAGTAAATGTGAGTGCGTGAGTAGGTGCTCTGATAGAAAGGGTGCCCAGGTGTGGGTGTGCGTAAAAGGCTGCATCTCTATGTGAACATAAATATAGGAATAAATGCTAGAATGGTGAACACTCAAAGGTCTCCAGTAGCATTTTTCTTAATGACCTTTCTGTTTTGTGTGCATCTGTACATCTAAATTCTTATCGTTCTGCCCCAAAACGTTCCCTAAAGGTTGTGGTGTTCATCACATCCCACAAACAGAACCTTCCTGTACACAAATACAACGTTAACCCCTAACAGTACTGAATCCCAGAATAGCTGTGCATGCTGTTGATTTCTATCCAAGCCATTATATAGAGAGGTTAGAAGGCAAAAAAAAGGTTTTTTTAAAAACTCAAGTAAACAAGATTATGAACCCATAATCACGAGAAAGCAAACTTATTTTCCCTCATGTTTATCAGAGAGTGTTTGGCCAGCATTCATTGATGGCATCTTGACAACAACAGCATCTGATATAAGCTGAAAATGTGAGATAATCTTCATAATATCTTCACCTCTGCCATCTGCCTTCGTAATGGGATTTATTTGAGCAGCTGCTGGCTGAGACACAGAGCGGTCAGTCTTTCATCCTCTGCTAATGTAAAACAATGTTTTCTGCTCTAAAGAAATAACAGCCGCAGTTAAGGCAGAGGAAATTTGCCTTGGACTTACTGTTCAGTAGTAAATCCAGCTACATGGTTAGTTCTCATGATCAAGGACTTTTTTTTATCTTTAGAAGAAAAATTTGCTTCATTCTTATAAATATAAAAATGGTGGTTGTGGTGGTGGTTGGGGGGGGGGGGCAGAACACGTCAGAAATTGAAGTTTAATCTGTGAATAAACATTCAATTCAGAGTCTGTCAGTATTGGTAGATACTGATATTTTGGATTTTTGGCACATGTTTCCACTGCTAGACGGGTCAGGATCACCAGAAAGTCCTCTGAGTACAGACTTAAGGACGTGCCTCTCTGCCCATCTCTCTCTCTCTCTTCAGTCCCCCTTTACGCCATGGGAATAAAAATAATCATCATATATTACTGCCCATTTTATTACTGTTAGTCTTCCTCCTCCTGTTAGAGTTTCTATTCATGCTGATCTTCAGTTGACATTTTCTCATTTACATGCAGCGTTCCTCTTCTTTTAGGAACTGAGCAGAGAAACATTTTTCCCCTAAACTAGACAGCTAAGGATGGTTTGTATTTCACCTGACACTGTGTGTGGTAATGAAATCAGTGTGATGTAATTTATAGGCCTTAAATCATTTATACTTATTGGTGCTTCTTGGTAATTCTATTTGTTCTTAGTTTATCGTACTTATTCATTTTCATAGCACAGAAGCTGTTACCCCTCAGGAACACACCTTATGATAAGATACTGTAATCTAAAGAGAACAACTTGACCTGCTAGTTGATTTATATTAAACAAGTCCTCTTTTGTTACTCCTCAAAGCCTCACTTCTTCATCTTATCATTGTTTACTTTTTCAGTCATGATTTTGATTTAAAAGGGATTTTTTTGTGTTTAATTCCTGATTAGTTTGGTAACTGTAAGAAAACGCTGTACTGTGATTTGCTAGGGATAAAGACAGAATTTATTTAATCAATACCCCAGGACAGTGGGTGATGTTGTTCTGAATTTCAGCACTGCTGTGATTCGGTCATAAGCACGAGGCTTCAAGCTGAGGGTGAAAGATAATCACAGCAGTACAACAGTTCTACCACAAGCATAGGGAAGAAAACTGTTTTTAAAAAAAACAACAGATTACATTTTTTGCTCCAGCAACTCAAATTGTTCCACATCTTGTTATGTGTCTTGTTGTTTTAACTTACAGAGTGAAGAACATCTGGCTTAAGCGTTCTGATACACACTGTGAAAAGTCACAGTGATGTTGTCATTGAAACACTCATAAAGTGCCTCTTGTCCAATGAGTATACTTGAATACCCATTGATCTATGCATCCTTCGTTGTTAGTTATCTTAGTATTTGTCAATATGCCAGTGGATTGGATCTTTAATATTTCCCCCCCACAAAAAAAATGTAATGAGCAAAATAATAGCTGATGCACTCCATAAGGTTCATGCTTACATTTCTTGTTTGTGCCCTTTAATGACTTTATTTCTACACAATAGACACGCAGATGTTGGGGTTATAGTACAATAAAGATTAAGGAGGTGGAGGGAGGGACGGGTGCTGTTTTGTTATTGAACCGCTGCACATTAAAATTTCTGAGCATGTCTCTGCCAGCCAGCACGGCGGTCTGACCAGCAGGAGGGATCAGGTGCTCTTGACCCTGAGTGTAGGACAGGCAGACAGACAGACACACAGACAGACAGACAGACAGACAGACAGGCAGACAGACAGACAGACAGACAGACAGACAGACACACACACACACACACACACACACACACACACACACACACACACACACACACACACACACACACACAGACACACAGATGAAGGCAGCAGTAAGCGGTCCGGTCTGGACGTCCTCTGTCTGTCCTGTCCAGCTCCTTTTTTCTAATGCTCAGTGATGTAATGACAATCCGTCTGATTGTGTCCTCTTGTTGTTGACTTTCCCCCCTTGTTGTCTCGAGCCTGGAGGCTTCAATGTTTGTTAAGCTGCAGAACAACCCTCCCACTCGTCCCTTTCTCCACTATCAATTATATTAACAGCAGCCCGAAGCTTCCTCCCAGCATGTTGCTCCATTTTGTGACAGGAAGGCTTTCTGCTGTTACTTTATGGCCTCCTGCTACATTATAGCGCTGCACTGGTAATAGAGCTTACTCTCTATTCTACTCCAGGCTTTGCCCTGCCATCCAATTTGTCTCTCCAACACAAGACATTTTCTGGTGACAATGAAGTATTTTTTACAGCCGTGCTGATGTCATCACATTTCTGTTTGTCCCTCGTTTTCGCGGGGCACAGCTTACAGGAAGATGAATTATACAACACAATGGACAGGATGGATGGTCTGCAGTCAACTTGAGGCCAATTTGCCCTAATCTGACTTGGCTTATGTTCCCATCTAGCCATACTACTGGAGATGATCCACCAGGATCCTTTAACAATTGTGTTTTTCTGGCTGTGTTCCACACTGTAAATTATGTATAAGCACAAAGGAGCTGGAGGAATCATGTGGTATGTCAGGTTTACCCTTGATTGGCACAAGGACCAAAAATAGCAACATCAAGCATTCCTATACTAATTGTTAGTCATATTCAAGCCCCATACATTGTGTAACCACACAGCATCATGTGAATCCACCGGAGAGCCATGGCCTTAAATCATTCATTGATTTAAGCGAACAGCTCAGGCAGAAATACGTTGGACAGGCAGTACTCATGCATGCAGCCCTGGGCTTTGAGATTCCCACAGGGATTGTGAGGAGCGGCTGTTGATGCACTGCTCTGTGTTGTATGGACAGTGTGTTTGAGCTGCTCAATTGAAGGTACCTGCATTTTAAATGTTTAGTCGAATCATATTTGTTTGATTTTTCTAATAGGATAGGTTCACGTCTTTTCATGTCTATCTTAAGTAATTATTCGTACATCATGTGTGAGTACATTGCTATCAATTGCCGTCATAATTCCTATTATTATTACATGACCCTGAAAAGATCCCCTTCAATGCAGAAATGCCTTGTGTGTGTGTGTGTGTGTGTGTGTGTGTGTGTGTGTGTGTGTGTGTGTGTGTGTGTGTGTGTGTGTGTGTGTGTGTGTGGTCATGTTTGTGCTCTAATAGGAATAGGTCAGTATATTTTTCCACTTTCCACAAGTGGAAGTGTAGATACCGTGTAATATTCTATTATTGTATTTTTTTTTATTTAACTGATGTAAATATGTTTGATTTTTAACTTCTATTTTATTTTTATTTTTAATAATTATATTCCTTTGAGCTGCTGTAATGCAAAAATTTCCCCCATGGGGGATCAATAAAGTTTATCTTTATCTTTATTTACAGTCTATGGTCAGGGATCTTCAGAGCTGCACTTTAAGTAAACACTTTTATATATGTTATATAAATTTAAAATGTGCCTTTGAACTCTTGTTTATTTGTTCATTTGTTTCATTGAGTTACATTTGTATGAAATGTACTATACAAATAAATGAATTCATTTAATTAGGCTAAAGTTTTAACGCAAGGACTGCTATAGGTCTATTTTCTCAACAAATCAATCAAGCTAATTGTATCATTATCCATATTACTTATTTTATCTTGCCTTGAATTAAATTAGTTAAATATGTCAAATTCCGTTTTGAGCCTGGTAGATACTTTTATTTTGAAGGGCCGCCGGATGAAGCGGTGGATGTTGTGTCAAGCCTGCAGGTCTGCTGCATCACCAAGCTAACCTTCTCATCCCGCTGTTAAACCGAGTGATTATGGCGACGTTTTTCGGTGAAGTTTTGTCCGTGTATTCTCGGGCTGTGGAGGAAGATGAAGAGGATCTCCAAGAAAACGAAGAAGATGAACAAATCCGCAGAGAACTTGAGGAAAAGAGGTAAATAACGCGAGCCAGTTAGCATGGAGCCCGGAAGTGCTCAGTCAGACAGCATGGAGGTATTGAATTAGATAACAGTAGCTCATTTTAAGCAGTCAAGTGAAGTGCAAATTGTACTTTATATATGTAAAACTCTATGTTTGAGTTATTTAATGTTTCTATAGTTTGGTATAATGTTGTCACAGGGGTAGGCCTACTTACAGAAGCACCTCTCTGACTGGTTTCATTTTCACCGACATCATGACAGAGGATGATGATCCAGTTTGGCAGATTTCGAAGCACAGTTTGCTCCACAGTGAACCAACCTGTGGGTTAGGAGAGCTCACTGAATGTAAAGTATTGGTATTTGGCTGCTTTGCAAAACTGGACATCAAGCCTAAAATACATCTGTCAAATAAACACCTGAAACTCTGCTGCTGGCTTAGAAAACATCCACATAACGGCTCCTCCTAAACTCTCTCATCCAGGTCTACACTCCCTTTGTCCAATGAAAGGCATCTGATCCAACCTTCACAACAGGGCCCCAAATCTCAGGCTAGACTCAGAAGAAACGAATGGACCAAACTCCATTCAATCTGCAGAGTCCCTTTGCACCTTTAAGAAAAAGCTTAAGACCCAAGTTTTTTTTTAAGTTTTTTTAGATTTTTTTGGCCTTTATTGTAGAGATAGGATCGTGGATAGAGTCGGAAATCAGGGAAAGAAGTCATTTAGGATACCTTTCCGATAGAACAGGACAGCTGTCATTAAACGTAACGCATGAACACCAAGATTCCTTCAAGTGTTTGTGTCGGCGTGTGTCCCCCCCCCACGCTGTAAACCTACGGGAAACATGGTACACACAGAGCAGCTGGTTAAGATAAGATATACTTTATTCATCCCAGCAGGGAAATGTAGGTGTTCCAGCAGCCAGCATGCATACAAACACACAACACAACACATATATACATACATATCCCACCCATACAAAAAAACATGAGCCCACAATACAGTTTGATATATGATATATTGCCATTCTTTTCAGATTCATCTTCACTTTCTCCTGTAACTCAAATGTGTGCACTAAACTGATCAGACTTTTTCACACCCCCACGGAGTGAGTCTATCTTTACCTTTGGCTTCATGACCTGGTTTGGTAACCCTTCAGTCAGAGACTAGACCAGGTTGCAACACATCATTCAAGTTACCTTAGTGATCATTGGTGTTAAACTACCTGATCTGTCTCTTAGAGAGCAACACATGAGACTTAAGACACTTTGACATCCTCATCTTTGGAGAGTTTGAGCTTCTGCAATCAGGCAGGAGATACAGATTACAAAAGACAACAAATCTAAAATTATTTTATGGCTTAGGCCACCAAACTACTGAATTATAATAATGAACCAGTATAGACTATTTCCTGTTTAGTTCTGATGCCTCATGGTTTAAATATTGGTTTTATTGGTGGATTCAATGACAGTTTTATTTACTTGTTGTGTCCTGTTGCCTCTTGTTGTAATCTTGTGATGATGTATTTAATGTTTTATGTTGTTTGTAATGTCTGAGTCCAGGTGCCTGTGTTTTTACCTCGTTTTCTCGTTTCCCGTTTTTACCTGGCTGCGAAACGAATGTCCCCTCAGAGAATAAAGTGATGAATTTAAAGCTGAAACTGTCCCTCCTTCTCTTCCCCACTTGTAACTGTTCACCAGGGAGGTTCATCTTCAGTGGAGCCCTGAAGTCTCAGAGTCCTTGAAGTCCGGAAACAAGTTGCAGTGTACAGACTTCATCCTCGCTGTGGGACACAATGCTGCCCGTAAGTGGCTGCCAGCAGCTTCCAGAGATTTGCTAAAGCTGTTAAAAGGCCTTTATAACTGCACACAGAATGACAGTACTGATACAACAATACTTCGATGGTTGATAACCGATCTTTTAGGCTGGATTTAAAAAATGTTAATATATACATCACATCAAGATCTAATGGGATTATGGATACTTAGAACTTGTGTCCAAATGTTAAACTCTTAAAATTGTTTTTTTTTTTTTTTTTTAAATCTCTTCGCTGGGATGCAGTTAAGAAATAAACCTGTATATGATTTTATAATGAACAGTTTTTTTTAGTCTATAACATTCCTGCAAAATGATTTGGTAAAGTGTAAGAGAACGTTTTCAGTTTCCTGGTTTTGTCCGTCTTAAAGTGAGACACAAACCGGTTCAGTGAAGCATCACATAAGGTGGATATAAAGCAGGAAATCTGAAAGTTGAGAAGCTGAACCCAACCCCTGATTGGCATTTATGCTTAAAATCAATAATGTTTAATCATAGTATTTGCAAATTAATTTTCTTTTAGTTGATTAATCCATTTATAGCTTCAGCTCTGATGAAAGTATTTACAGCGGTATAAATGTCTTGTGTGAAAAAAGGTCTGTAGTTTAAATGCATATCTGTCTGAATCCTCACAGATCATACTATAACGTCTGTTACATATTGTAAACAGCAACTTGTGTATATTCATTTCTTACAACGTCACCATGTTAAATAAGAAAAGTGAAAAAAAAAAAAAAAAAAAAGCCCCTGTCATACATGAGCTGCTGGTGAATACTGAGAGGGTCTGTCTTCACAGGGTTTCTGTCAGTGTACGTTCTCACCTCTGCGAACTGGGACGCAGTGGGACATGCATCAGTGTGGAACGAGAGGAGCCGGGCTGTATCTGGGCAAACCAGCGAGGAGTCGGCGTGTGTTTTCTACAGACAGAAGGACAACCCATCAGTGAGTGACACACAGAGAACAACACCATGTGTTACTATTTGATTAATGTCACAGAAAGCACACAAAGTGTTGCAAACTCGATAATTGTTTGGTTTAACGACTTTGTTCCTGATCTTCGATTTGAATAGTCTCACATTAAGAGCCCATTACAGCGCCCGTACCACGTTCATTATCACGCTACAACCCAGTGACAAATAATAAGAACCCGAATATACTGGAGAAATATCAGGAAGCAGATGGTTCCAATGACAAACAGAATCCATCTTAAAAACAATAATAGTTTGTTGAATGACCGCATCAATCCAACGCTTGTTTTTCATGCTTACATGATATCTTAATAGTTCTGATGGTACCAAAATCATTTGAAGAACAAAACTCCACTTCAGCCACAAAAGTTGTAAAGTAGGACATAACACAGAGGAATAATGATCCCCGGGAACCTGGTGTCTCTAACATAAACTTTCAGAGTTATAACGGAGCAGTCTCGTGTTTGTGTGTTTTTCTATCAGCCTGGTGTCTTTTGCACGTGATTCAATCAAGATAAACACAGTGTATGGCCCTGTTAGATAGCACTGCCCTGCTGAGGAAGCTTCAGATTTATCACACAGCCTTCAGATGGCTGCAGAGTTAATGAACTGAGGAAGAAGTCTTTTATACTCTATAAAGCAGCTGTGGACTAGAAATACTGTAGCCATAACACATTCATTTACACAGCACTGATTTACTGAAATGCAAGTTATCACAGCCTTCAATTTAAAGCTAATATAAATGCATCTATAAGTTCTGTTTTGTGAACATTGTCTGGGTCGTTTTCGCCTGAATTAACAGGGATGGTGTTAGGGCCGTCCAAAGGAGAGGGGAAAAGACGAGTGGAGAAGAAGAGGCCTGGTTAGATATGTACGGGAATATTGGGGTCTTGTACCATAGTTATCTTAGAGCTAGATTAAACCTGCAGCCCCTCAGCACATCAAGGATGAGTTGATTTAATTGATCATGAGACAATTAAACAACAATAATTTTAAAATTGATCAATTTTAATTCAGACAAAATACCAAATGTTTTATTTTCAAGGTCCTCAAAGGCCAAAAAAGCAATTAATCATTTCTTATTTATCAAAACAAATGTTGTATAAACTAGAGCACTAATGACTCTGCTGATAATCTGCTTATATATTGATAATGAAATAAAAAATAGATAAGTGAAATTGATAATTTATCTATTGAGACATGAATCTTTCCCAACAGCACCCACATGATTTGAGTTTTTTTTTTTTTTTTTTTTAAATGAATATTATTATAAAGTATTATACGACACCTGAGGTGTATTTTACAAGTATCGAGTTTCCTTTGTTGACCACTTGGTAACTTTCCTTTAGATGTTCTTTTTAAATGTATATCATCGATGCACTCACACCCATTTTCACCCCAAAACAACACCTTGCTTTACTGTATGTTCCCACTCTTGGAAGAAACGCTCCCACTTAGTGTATCTAACCTACTCCAGTGTGATGTGCCAACTAGCAGCGTAAATTTAAAGGTCAGAAAAAGATGAAATTGTTGGAGCCATGTTTGAGCTAGTCTCAGTGCCAGAATGAAAAAAAGAGCTCTGTGTTGCTTATTCCCTTCAGTTGTGATCCAGCCGTATCATCAGCATGTCTTGTCTTTGAGTGGCACTTGTATTTTGTGTAGGCAAATATAAATCCGTCTTTAATCCACAAATGGTTCATGAAGTGTCTACTGCATTTCTTTCCCTCAGGTTTTAATATGCCAAGTGACGTGCTACATCGCAGAGGACCAGCTTTTTCAGTGGACTGAAAGGGTAAGTGTTATTCAACATCATCAGTCGGATGCCGATAAGAGTAAACTATGTTGTAATGCACGTGGATTCAGGGCGGGTTTACTACATGAGTGTGCAGACAGATGGCAGATTTAACCATTCACAATGTTTCTTCAGCATTGTTATAAGAGGAGGACTTTTTGGATCTGTTTATATCTGTTAAAAACACAACGTGATTGAACATGCATACAAAGTTTCATAATTATTCGTCTTGCTTAAACACAAATCTTATATAGCTCATTTGAAGTCAACATCTTGAGTCTGTGTTCTTGTGTGTACACTCAGTTGCCACCCTAAGTACCTTAATGAAATTATCTAATGGACCGCTTTGAATTGAAGACTGTTTTGTTCTGGGGCGATAGAAGGGATCCAAGAAACTGTCAAACAAGTTTAGAAATGTTATCGGTCTATTATTTGGCTCATTAAAAGAGTTGTTTTCCACGTAGTAAAATTATAATGGCAGGATTCAAACTTTGGTTTGTAAAACATTTAAGGTGACGTGTTGGTTCTCTTCCTCTTGTAGGTGTTTGAATGTCTGCAGCTCAGAGAGCTCAACGTGACAGTGTTGTCAGACAGCTCTGTGGCTGAGTACAAGACAGCAGACTATCTGTGCTGTAGCTCCGCCCCCTTCCTGCGCTCTCTCCACACAGGTGCTTTCAGTGGTAAGCCTGTCTGCCAGTCACTGGAGCAACCCAACATAGTTACTGGACTCCCAGCTGCAGGTACTTCTATTCTAATTGTTGTCTCACATTGTTACATAACCTGGCCTCCCCTGGCTAGATGCTTTTTTGTCTTCTTTCACATTTTACAGGCACAAAAAAGCTATGGACTCTTAGAGGCTGCATGACTCAGCTTTCCTCGTCTTTCGCCTGCCTGACATACTGCCTGCATGTTTGAGTTTAAGTTAGACATTTCTTTAAAAGTTGTTCTTAAGTTGGAGAAACAGCTTTCGCTTTGACGATCCGTTCCATTCATGCAGTACGTCTGGTTTCTGTAGACCTTTCAGTTTAGTGTCATTAAGGGATGAAGGCACAGGATCCCAGCATGCATTGGGAGAGAGGCAGAAAAGTCCCCATGAAAAGGAACCTCAAGTATCCAACTGTTGTGATGTATATCCAACTGAAACGGGATAGAACCAATCACGAGATAGGAGGCGGGACATAAAGTTAAGATGTATTTGATTGGATCGTTAGCTGCGTTAGCTGCGTTTTTAAAATTGGTTGGACGTTAGTAAACGCCCCTTGGTGCAGGATGAGTCATCAGACATTTTAAAGGTTTTACAAGAAGATAAAAATAGTTGTTTTAATAATTCTTCATTGAAAAATATTTGGCAGATAAATTCATGTTTATCTCAGGAACTCTGGATTAAAACTGGGAAAATGTTGTTTTTTTCCATTTCCTAAGGACTCACTGTAAGGTGTTCTATTAAAACAACAAGAGACATCACACATTTCACACATTTAGCAGAGACGAGACATCACAATGCCGACCTTCTTCTCAGTGTGTGAACCATACTCACAATGCATTAATGAACTAAAACACTGAAATGTTACACAGTCCAATACAGCAAACTACCGTTACTGTGAAGTTAATGAAAAAGTTAAAATGATACATTTTGGTGTTGGGATCTTTAACTGTTTGTGTGTGTGCATATATCCAATTTTATTTGGATTTGAGTTTGAGTGTCCTTGAGCAAAACACTTCAACATTTCTCCTGGTGTGTGAGTGTGTGTGTGTGTGTGTGTGTGAGTGAGTGTGTGTGTGTGTGTGTGCGTGGAGAGGCTGTAAGTCTCTTTGTATTACATCGTCTGCCAACTGAATGAGTTGTGGGGCCATTAGGCTCCTCTCCACTCACCGAGCACACACAGTCCTGCATCCTGATTTAGTCATTTTGGTGCTAGTGCACTTAAAGACGCTGAAAGTCCAAACAAACAGATGTCTTGTGGGGATGAAGAGGCGGAGCCAGTAGCACTAAGGACTGCCAGTTTAAACACCTGTCCACTCATTATTGATCCTCATTGTGTCACTGTGTAGTCTCATTCTTATTCTGTTTTTATCAGTGCTGAACCACTGCGAGGTCCACCGCATCGCCACTGTTGTTTACCAGTGCTACAGTGATGTCATTGGCCCTGACTCTGTCACCATGGAGACCTACAAGCCTGCACTAACTAAGCTTGGCAAGTCCATCCAGGTGAGCTGCATTTCTTTTTTATAGGAAGCTTTTTGTGTGTTCAGGGAAGAGGATGAAATCAGAAGCTCTGCTCAAAGTTTGGGGACTTGAGACAGGAAGTTTTTTCCCATCTCTGTTTCTATTTTAGGATATTTCAACTACACTCAGCACAACTTAACTTAATAAACTCGTACAATCTATGATTAAAGACAGTTATTATAAGACGATGAAACTTGTAATTGATCAATTATTGTTGACACTGTCAGAAGGTAATAATCATTTGTAATTTCATTTTGTACCGGTGTGAAAACATGTTTCTAACATCTTGCCCCTCTCGTGCATGTAAACGTGCAAACAGAGATGTAGTTAATCAAAACCTTGAATTGAATCCTCTGTGACGGTGTCAGCTACCACTGAACATTATTATTTTCATGACAGAGCTTTCCTTTTGGTTGACATGAGATTGTACGAGTGTTACTAATATAGTGGTAGGAGGGCGGGTGTGTTTCACTTATTGTTTCTGACACTTTGCCACCGTTGCCATGGAGAAAAAGCCAGTTGGAGGCACTAATTAGTGCCGCAGTGAATTCAAAGTGCTTCATTGTTGAAATTGTCTCATAATCGCACCAACATCCCTGAATTCCTCCAAAGAATTAACCAGACAAAAAGTTAATTATTTTTAACTGCATTTTTTATTTCAGTTTTCTCGGCAATGTGACATCATCAATTTCGGAAAAATGTCTTCCAGAAAGTTACCTACTTTAAGCCTTTTATTTGTAATTAAACTTCACAATACACATTTTTATCGGCATGATCTTTTTAGTTATCAAATAATCTGGTTTTTTTTTATACTGTTAAACTTCTGAAGTGATGATTCAAGTAGAAGAATTAACAGTCAACTGGTTAAATGCTCCATCTATGAGTCATATAAAGACGTATATAGGAAGAATTAACGAGTGTCTGAAGTAGCTGCTTCTTTCTCTCGCCTCTACTTAACATTCCCTCAGCACTTGACATTATGTAGCGTCATATAACTTGAGAGTTGTCACTTAATGAGTGTGGGGCCAGGATCTAAGTGGAGTAGAATATTTTAAACAAATGCACTTGCTTTCGTCTGCAGAAGACTCCGCAAATAGTGTTCAATGAAATAAGTACTTTTCCATTCTGACATTGCACTGCAGCAACTTTGTCTCATGTTTAATATATTCAATGAGGAGGGTTCTCAACAATTATTTACTTCTAATGTGGGATCATTAGATGAGCTCATAAGAGCCATCTGCTATATGGTCAAAATACTGAAACAGTAAGCCGGTCAAACATTTAAAGGCGATATAAAATAATGTTTGTCAATATCTACTGATGCCTGTTTCCATAACAACACAATGTATGCTGGATAGTATGAAGGTCTCTCTTTAAACTCCTTAAAGGCAGTAGAAGTTTTGAGAGTATTTCCACATAACTCAACAAGGTGAAGGAAAGAACACAAGGTATAATTAAATCTTCACTTAAAGGTTGAGTCAGTAGAAATGTTTGTTGCAAGCTTGAAAAAAAGCTTCAGTCTCGTTTTGAAACAAGCTTTATACGCTTGGCATTTCCCCTCACTGTGATTAGCCTTTATTCTCTCTGCTTTGCCGCTACGTCTGCATCATATTCGCTGGTTTGAATCATGTCTTATCTAAACTAAACTGTATCCACTTCTAAATTCACCTGCCAGCTGTCGCTGGCTGGGGGGAAACATCCACTCGACTCAACCAAAACAAAACATGAAAATCCAGAGGCAGAGGACAGGGTCTCTGCAGACTCAGTCAACACAGCACATGTGCAGAGGCCCATAAGTGATGATTAAGCAGCTTGACTTTTGTATAAGTCTATTTTTTATTTTTTAGGGGAAAGATACTGACTCTAAACATCTAAAATGTTTTCCCATTCTCCTTAATCCACTTTATTAATGGCCTCTCTCTCTCTCTCTCTCTCTCTCTCTCTCTCTCTCTCTCTCTCTCTCTCTCTCTCTCTCTCTCTCTCTCTCTCTCTCTCAGCTGGACCCGTCTCCGAGCACAGACGTCCTTCGCAAGTTTGCCAGAAATAATGTTCAGAGTAATCTTTATATCTGAAAAATTGCCATGTTGCACACTGTGCAGTGAAAAGTAACTCTATTTTCCTGTGGTAAAATACTGACGTTTTTTAAATAAAGACAATATTTTAAAGCCTTTTGTTTCAATGCAAGTAAGTGAGTATTTTGGTTGATTTAATTTGTTGGGTCCCAAAAGTTTCCAAACAGAGGGGAGTTATGATGTGCAAATTTTATTTTCTTCTTCTAATGTAGGATTTAAGTATTAATAAATGGATAAAGGCGTAAGGAAAGGGAACTTCAGTGCGCCTGCATCCCTTCTTTCTGCAAACCGTTCTCTTTATACTACATATGATTACTTCCAAAAATGACAAGCTGCCAGTTGTGAGTTATTAAAAAAGGAGACAGGCAGATATTCGCCTGATTTAAAGATGCTGGCAGCACGTTAAAATTCTGATCCCTATTCATGACCAAGTTCCTGCAAAACTTATAACCTCCTCAGGCTCCTAGTTTTGTATTAATAAAATATGAAATCAAGTTTCCTCAACACTGTTATCGCGTCAGCGCATTAAGCCTAGAATGACCCACATTTCCACCTGCCTCTGGTGTTGAATTTAAATTGCCTTGCCTTTAAAGTGTGAGATATTCAGGAGGCAACTCAGCATAAGAATAGAGCACTTTTATCAGTATACATACATTATATTTGAGTTTTATTGATGTTCCTGCTGCCTCTCAGCTGTGCACACGTACAGTGATGATATTGTCACACTGATGAATGCAGAGTAGGACAGCAAAGATCAAACAGTGGAGTGGCATTGAAGATTTTGCAGAAACAGTGCAGCACATGAGAGGATACAACAATACTCTTAACCCGTTAAGCTGAGTTTGTTAGGCCTCTTATGGGTCTCTGATAGTGATTATTGCAATATTAATTCAAAATACAAAGATTTACAATACTGAGGACAAGACATAAAACACCTTCCTCCCTTCTGACCTGCATCAGTCAGAAGAGTACAGTCATTTATAATCGTCAATCCCAGGACCTTTTCTTGCTGTCTGTTCCAAAAGTCAGACCTGAACTGGGGCAAAAGGCGTTAAAGTTCGCTGCTCTTTTTACTCGGAACAAATTACTAGAAGAGCTGACGCTTGACGAGCTGATCTCGTTGAATGCTTTTAAGAGGACGTTGAATGACTTGGAGGCAGACACATCTGGCTGTAGACGTCCTCCCTGGTGTATTTATGCTTGTGGGGGAGCTTGACAAATATTTGCACTTTTAGATTTGTTATTTTTGAATCGTGTTGGGCGAACCTGAGGAAAGCTACAGGCTAAACACTGTTCAATAATATTATCAGTAAAGTATTTTCAGTGTGCGGCAGATTTTTTATTTTGTGTCTTTTAGTGTTTAATAATTATGCATCTTCATTAAGTTTGTATGTGAAGCTACTCGTTATTTGTCAGAAACCCTGCTGCCTGTCTTGGCCTGGACACTACTGAAAAAAAGATTTTGTAGTTTTAACCAGTTTTTTTCCAATAAAATAAATTAAGAATTAAATTTAAGAATTAATTTATCTGAATTTAGGCAATTCCCAAAGTCTAAACTCCACTCTAAGCTTATTATACCAATATGCTGCATATTAAAAATGACTTATGGATGAATGAATGAATTATTTTTACCTTTCTTGACTTTTCTTGCAGTTTCGCAGTGTTTCCTCCTGTCCAGATGGGGGCAGTATTGCGCCCAGTGAGGTGTTTAAAAAAAACCTCAGGAAACTAGCGGAAGAGCGAAACTCAAACACAACAGTTGATGTCGTCTATGGAGGGTCTCGTCCAGAGAGCGGTGAAGGGATTTTCTCGTTAAAAAGAAAGTTATGTACGTGATATATTCAAACTAATCGCTACATCGTAACGCCAATAACAATGTTTAACTACGTCAACTGTGTACCGAGAATATATCCTCTGCTGTGAGGGAGTTTATCACCACCTGTTAACGTCACTTCTGTAAATGAGTACCGGCCGCTTCGCAGCTTCCAAGAGAAGCGAATTCAAAGCTCCAGTTTGCCGGAGAAATGAGCACTCAAGGGCCCACAGGGTCCTCGCCGAGAGGAACCAGGCCGTGGTGGCAGTGGGAGCCTGGGTCGAGGAGGGACAAGACTTCCCGGAGCATCCGTCTGTGAGTTTTGGCATTTCTACTCATGACTAACAACAACAACAACAACAACAACAACCACTGAAACTAGCTTTTAATCGGTTGCTAGGTTACCGAGGAGCCGTTAGAGACGATCATCATGCTGCATTCAGGGTCTCGGATTTTAATAGTGAAGTTTGATGTTCAGTCTTGTTTTGTTTTTTGACATTAGTATTCTTTATTTTTATTATTTTATTATTAGTATTACTCTATTTCAATTTAAACCCCAATGTAGTTAGGTATTTAACTGTTGTAGTTATGTATTTAACTGTTGTAGTTATGTATTTAACTGTTTTTTTTACTCAATAAAAGGTTGCAAGGTTACAAGAGTTAAAGGTAATTAATGAATATTTGTATTATACACAACTTTACATGTTTACATGTTTACACAGGTCCATTTCACACAATAAAATAATAAAACATCCTTTCCTATGCCTATCCTATAAAATCCTAAATATAACACTGAACATTAACATTACAAAAAAGAAACTAAGAAAAGCAGATATACTCTAAATTAATCTAAAATTATTAATAATTTTACTTTGTAATCATTCATTATTTTGCTTTTCAAGTTTTTTTTTTTAACTACAGAGAACTAGGCTACTATTTAATTTCTGACTCATGACTGTGCATTAACATTTAAATATTTGTATTTAATTAATTTGGCTAAAAGGCGTATCTGAAGTTGAGTACATGTTTCTTCAACTATACTAAAGTTTAACACTTGAAAGAAGTTTCTTTACTTATTTATTGTCCATCTAAGTATGGGATTTAAATTCCAGTTTTGCCATGGCACCCTCATAAAAGGATTTCCACAGCAAGCTGAAATGTGTAGTGATGTTCTTGAAGGTCGGAGGTGACAATGCAGCGGTGTTTGACGTGCTGATCCTTCAAAGGCACATGAATATTAAAACTTGATTTTCCCTCCGTATATCAAACAGTCTTGCCCTGTCTTTGTTTTAAGGCTCTTGCTTTGCTGACTGAGGAGATCCAGGAAGAAAAGAGGAGGGTGAGAGAGGAGAGCCTCCGACGGTTTCAGGATGAAGTACGCCACCGTGTGGCACAAACAGCTCAAATCATCAAGAAGAGGGAGCAACCGCAGGCATACTCAGGGGTATATTGACTAACAGTGAATCAGCTCATCATTTTGGTTAGACATAATCGCTCTTGTTTGTCTTTTATTGACTTCCTCTTTGTAAAACTGTGTTTATGTCTCGGTAAAACAGGAGTATCAATCCTGGAAACAGCATGTAACTGCAGGTGAAAAGCTGAAGCCTGCAGGAGGTGCTGTACAACAGAGGGTGAAGGAGAGGAGCTCTCAGGAGGTGAGAGGGTATTAGAAAATGAAAGGATGCAGATTTTTAAAAGATAATTTCATGCTTTGTTTCGTAGTTTCCAGAAGACTGTAGTGAAAAGTTGGTTTTATAAAAGTTATTCCTCCTTTGCTTTGAATATTTTAGTGAATTGGTGTCCTTCCAAAATTCTCATTTGAAAGTTATTTGGAAAGAGAGCTAAAATATATGGCTGAAATCAATACCGCTGCATAAATCTAAAGATGAGTATGTGTACTTTCTATCTAGTGCTTTATTAATGCTCTAGTGAAAGTTGCTTAGTTTCAATAAAAGGAATGTTTTGCCTCGGTGGCAACAGTCAGGGAGTGCCCCTTTTCTGCATCAATGTATTCTGTAGGGACGAGCTTGCACAAAACCCTGACCCCCTCAGACTCATCCAATGCCTTTGGGATGAAGTGGAGTGCTGAGTGTGAACAAGGCCTCATCACCCAACATCTCAGTCTGACCTCTTTGATGGTCTCTGGAGTGTGAATGGGAGCAGAGCCATGCAGCTAGCTTGGCTAGAAAAAGATATTGTGTGAAGAGTGAACAGCAGTTCCTGATCCATAGATCAAGAAAGAACGATCAACCATCACATTTGGCTCGATTTCTAACGTACAGAATATTTGAGATCTTTTGAAAACATTGTTTCTACATTAGTTTATTAACAAAGGAGTAAGAATGAGTATTTCAACCATGAAATTACCTGTCAGAATAAATCTTCACCACAATGAAATTACAAACAACAATGTTTTTGAACTCCGAAAAAAAATGTCTGATATACAGTATATTTATAATATATAATACAATTCAATATAAAAAACTTCAACCATTCTATTGATTGGATTCTGTGCAGCTTGTGAAAGTAAAAAAATGATACAATATTACAAATAAATAAACTGAACATTAAACTTCATAACACAATATGAGAGTACAGACTGATGTTAAGGAAAATAAAATGTTTGATAAAATCAATATTAGCCTATCAACTGCTGTACTATTAACATTAATATTAGCCTCAAAATGTCCAGTATTTTTTGGCTTTTATGTTAACTCTCAAGGATCAAATTCTACCCAGATCCAAAAGATGTTTTATCTTCTGTCTTCTATCATATCTGTGTAATGTAAATCATCTATATGTGATTTTACTTTCTATAGTGTGCATGTGTTGTTTGTGGCCGTCAGAATGATTGCATTGTTTCCATGTGTGAGTGTTAGAATAATGTGACAGTGATTAATCATGAGGATTATTTATTCCATGATTTTCCAGCCTGTTGAAGGCATGAGGCAGGTCCGACTCAGACTGGCCGCCTGTCGGATGGACCAGCATGGGGAAATGACGTCAGACCTTCCTGGAGGTGAATGGAACTTCTCTCCCTCCAGACATGTGAGTGCCTGTGTCTCACACTTGTTCCTCTTTTTTCATATCTTATAGTTTGCAATAATCTTGTGTGTTTCTGCACGTCCAGGGTTGAACAAAAATCATTGTTTTCCTCTGCACTCCACAGAGATCTCACGTGCTTAATGCAGATCAGGAAGTTGAAGACGAGGAGGAGGAGGATGAGGAAGAGGGAGATGATCATATCATCACCAGTCAGCACATATGCCCCCTCGTTCAGCAGAAGGTTAATGAATACTCACAGCAGCTTTGGCATCTTGACTCGTTGTTCTATCTGTGATAGCATCTTGCGTGCATTACATTATAATTCATTTAAATCACCCAGACAATACTGGTACAGATATTCGTCAATGCAATTGCCTTGATTCAAGCAATATGATAAGAAGGTGGGGTCTGAAAAAGAGCAATCAACATCCACATCTATACTGTAATATGTGCCTGTTGCTCTCCTCCACTAAACACTCAGGCCTTACAGTTTTAACCCAGACACACACATTTCTGGTATTAAATCAAACATGTATAAATACTCTCAGGACTCTTAAAATTGTGATGATTGTAACTTCAGGTCGGCCTCATACTTGTTATCTATCCTTACATCTGTCAGAGTGAGAGTAGATGGTGCTAACAGATAACAGCAAAAACTCTGATGTATTCTATTACAAGCTGCTTCCAGGAATTTTCTTACATTCCTGCTTTTGACTTGACTTTGGCTGAGCAATAGATTAAACCAGATTTTCTGTATCATTTCCACTGCAGGATACAGATAGATACAGGTAGATAATGAATCTGTATCAAAGTCGATTCAATTCTGACGAGCAAATATTTCAAGAACTTCTAGAAATCGTAAAGCTCTTTCAAGAGAATTCCACGTTGGTGTTTCAAATGCTAATCATAGCGTTAAGTTTGACCAAATTATACCTTTCATCTGGCCAAAATAAATTCTCAGTTCAAGAGGTACCATCCTAACAATTCCAGCTAAACAAAACTGTGTTTGCAAATGAGATATTCATGCATCACAAACCCTTAAGTGTCTTAAATTGTGTCATCTATTGCAGCTTATTAACCCACACACCCAAAGACTTCAAACTTTATGATCATGCTATGGTTACGTTATTAGGTTTTATTTTACCACATGACTGAAAGGATTTAAATGTACAAGGTTCAACATATATTCTTATAATTTCCATTTCCCTATAACAGCATGTGATTCACTGCTTTTCAGGCTACAAGGAACAACAACATCATAAACAGTGCTGTTTATGTCTGACTTTGTTTATGTGTACCCTTGACCTGATTTGTTAACAGGGACTTTTGATGTATAACTTTTGATCAAGTTTATTTTGTGTCTGTTTATGCTTCAGGTGAGAGGACATGTATTGATGGATTCAGACAAATCACAGCCTCATCCCGGATTCCAGACCAGCCTCAGAGTCCCACAAGTCCTGTGGCCTCTGCCTGACCAAGAAGAACAGAAGAGACAGGTAGACATCAGAACAAATTCATGAGGCCTCAACTTTACTTGTCTGAACCATGTCAGACCCAGGGATAAACATTGCACGTCCCTCTTCCTGCAGCGTCAGTCTCAGTTCCTGATGCACCGTCGTCTGTACATGAACATTGAGCGAGAGCAAGTGAAGGAGAACAAACAGCACAGGATACACCTGAAGAGGACGGCAAGGTGACGAGACAGCAGTACTTTTACTTCCTCTTAACTTAATGTGTGGATTTAGTGAGTCTGTGCCCAAAATCTGTCTTCTCTAAAGCTTTTGAAGATTACTTTTTTAGTACGAAGAAGCTCTAGTTCAGCATGATTAAGGCATTAATCTGCAACATTACTGACAAGCATCTGCAGAAAAAAAATTCCTCAGTGATTGACAGAAAATATGTCTCTATACTCTTAATGTGCAGCTAAACTAAATAACTGACATATTAAAGCAAGTTACATATGATTCTTAAACCTCGGACTCAGGGAAAATCCCACCTCAAATGCACCCTGTCTTTGCTGAAGGATCAAAGCAGAGAAAGAACAGATTCGTCTGGAGGAGGAGAGACGATTAGATAGAGCTCGACAGCTTGCAGAGGCCAAACAGAGGCTGGAGGAGAGAGAGCTGCTGATACTGGAGAGACTGAGGCTTGAGGAGGAAGAGAGAGCTGTGGAGCTGCAGAGCAGGAGGAGGAGAGAGAGGAGAAAGGGAAAACAGAAGCGAGGTAAAGCGAGGATTTTTACTTCAAATACGTTATTGTAAACATTAACCAGGCGGGAACTGTAAAGGGTTTGTGAAGGCCTTCTCGCATGGGGTTCATCTGTTTGACCTGCTGCTCTCTGGGAGGCGCTACTAGTCTATCACAACTAGGAGCAACAGACTTATACCATAACTATACTGTACTTCACTATGCACTGACCCCCTGATCCCACATCCTTTCCTACACCAACAACCCAACACTATCCCACTACTTTTTATTGTTCAATAATCACATTTTATTTACATTATATGTTGGGTGATAAGGCCTTTTTTTTGTTTTCATACCAGTGCAATATTGTTTTCTTCTGGTCAAGTCACTTGTTTTACTGTGCAATATACAATGTTATTTGTAGGTGAGTTTTCTATGCTACAGCAGATGAATGAATGTTATATCGTTATACAATGTGTAAGGACATTAAAGGCTTTTTTATTCTATTTCTTTATCTGAGCTGCTGTCCTAACTGGCATACTGTTTGTAACCCTGCGCAGGTTCATTGAGGCTCTGAAAGCTCGGATGAAAGAACGTCTGTCTCAGGAGAAGCTAGACCTCCCTCCTCTCTGCTACTGTGCGTCCTCCTTCTGGGACTCCCACCCCGACACCTGCGCTAACAACTGTGTCTTCCACAACAATCCCAAAGGTACCCACACTGCCCCATAACGCACTCTGCTCACACCACCACAGAGCTGTAAATGTAAATACATGACAACATCCAACAATGCTGTTGACAGTAGTTTTGTTATCTTCCACAGAATATGTCAAGGCCTTACATTCAACAATGTTGAGTTTGGATTGAAGGTGAATGAAGCTGATCAACTGCAGTGGACAGTGCCAGGTAGAAATGGGATACTTGCCGTCTGTTTGAGTTATCAAACTCAGTCCGATGAAAAGTTGATATTACAACAAGAATATTTAAATCCTCAAAACTAAAATGCCTCAATGATAGAAAAACTATCACATGAAACATTAAACACTTTTTTTCCACAAATGCACTCCTGGATTGTCTACAGGACAGGCTGCCCCTGAAATCAGCTTCCCAGTGTGGGTTTCCTGTTCACATGCACCTCATAGTGGGAGAATTTTTCTGTTTGATCGAGGGGTGGGGGTTGTCGTTATATCAACGATACATGCAATTGTATTCACAGTATCAGAAAAGTGTTGAAAGGAAATGGTGGTTTCACTACGTGCAGACGACACTTATTGGTTATGTGAAACAACACCATCCCCTCCGCACCCCCATTCACTGTGACTATTCCTGACTTTCAGCTTCTGCGTTCACACATAGGCTCGCCCCGACCACAAGAGGGTGCTGGCAGGAAAGATTCTGGGTAATTTGGGGTTAAAAAAAACAAAACCCTACATGCATCCCACCCTCAACATTTCTGCCATTTCTTTTTGCACAGGTTTTCATACTGATGAGTCCATGTGACATATGTGATCCCTCACTTTTCTAACTGTGTAACGCTGCCCACAAATCCAAGTGTTCACTTGTCTTTTAACTAAATAGATCTGTGCACACATTTCTAAAGACATTTTTATTTTTTATTTCCTTATGTCTTCAGTGAACCCCGACCATACTCCCCCACCCCCAGCCTGAGTTACACTTTTTGTGGTAAACATGGAAAAATATATACTTTCTAAAAATCACTGTTATCACTGAAGCTTGTTAGCTTGCTGATATTAACTTCAACCTCAGATACCTATTGTGCCTCTTACAGCTTAGCTAACAGACTGTAAGAAAACATCTCATTAAGAATACTCTTTCCATGTAATTAGTAAAATGAGTTTAAATACTATTAAATACTTTATTAATGAAATGGAATCAGGGAGGTCAGTATGTGTATAAACGTGAGAATATGCTTCTGAGTATTTGTGGTTTGTTGTGTGGGAATCTTAGTTATCTGTTGTAGGTCATGTTTTTTGTTTTGCAACACTTAAAAAAATGAATTAAAAACACAATTTTTTAAAGGTGTGTACATTTTTTTTTAAATTGGTGCAATTGTCAACATAATTAGTCTTACTGAAAACTGCTGATATCCAAATGTTGTGTTGACTTCCATAAAGTCAAAGGTTTTTGCATGAGACATAAATCACTCTCAGAAACTACTTTATTACTGCAGGTTCTCCTAGCTAAACCCTGCACTCTTGCACTCAGCACCTTAAGGAAATGTCTGTATTGGTTTTCCTCTCTGTCTGCACCTTACTGCTCCCAGTGTTTGGTTAGTATATATTTACACTTAACATGTGTTTGTGTGCTGAATGCTCTTGTTGTTTATTGTTATTCCAATATCTATCTATCTATCTATCTATCTATATATATATATATATATATATATATAAAGTACTACTTTAATTTAAATTCTAACATTCAGTTATGTTGAAATTGATTCAGGGAGTTGTTGATTCAGCTTTTTTTAAAGGTTGTTTTTGTTTTTAACTCCACTTAAATGTCATAAATATCATAAACATCCCTCTGTTTATGTAAAAAAAAACTATTTGTAGATTTAGTGAATGTTTCATTTTACAGTGTTGCTGAATTGGTATTGAGTTTCGACCCTCATGAAGGGGTCCCGGCCAGGTCCCGACCGGGTCCCGACCCGGTCCCGACCCTCACTTTGGTATCAGCTGTTTCCGACCGCGGCCGCTTCCTGTTCGCCGTGACGTCAGAGGGGAAAATCACGTGGACTCCAGGAGGCTCCGTCTGGAGAAATCTTATGGAATAACACGTCCACGCAAATATTAATAATACCTATTTTTATCAACAACGGACGCCTTCTTTTTTTGTTGTTGTTGTTGACCTGTATGTGTATCACAGCTTCTCGGAGGAAGGCTGGCTATCCCGACCTGTCCATATAAACTCTGCCCGACACTATGGAGGAGAACTGCTGGATGTTTACGGACTGTGTGTCCCACCAGGAAGCTGCAGGGCTGCTTCTTTACTCCTTTAGCAGATAGCATTTACTTATTGTTACCTCACTTAAAAAGTGCGTTTTCACGAGCAACAGAAAAACCTCCCAGCAGTGGTTACTACTCGGTAATAAGCAGCTGGTCTTCTTCTGTTATTCAGCAGTAGTAGTAGAGGAGGTACACACAGAAGCTTAGTACTGATAGCCGAGAAGAAGAAGAAAGAAAAAACATGTCTGGAACCAAGGCGTGAGTGTTTTTTGTTTTTGAGTTTTTTCAGTTTTTTCATCGACCATGAAGTCCTCCCTGGCTCCCGGCATTCGGTTTATCACGACCTTTTCTCGAGATGCCTGGTAAGTTTGTATCACAGTTCATTCCCTGTTGTTCTCCACACTTCCACAAAGCCGGTTACAAAGTAGCAGCTGGTGTGCGTGAATTTATCTCACCGCTGTAAATGATTGGCTTAACCTGGTCGATAAACAAACATTCTGTTATTCAGGGTAACTGAGCGAGTTCATTATGATTTCCTCATTTATGTACCTGACTATCAGCTACAACTAATGACCACTCTTTGTGTTCACTTGGAAAACTGTTTCCAGTCATTTCGGGCGTTTTGTATCAAGATGCAAACAAGACTCCATTAAAAAAAAAAAAATAGACCCCATCTATACACAGATTTGTCCTTTAACGGATCAATCCAGTCTTGGATAAATCCAGCACTGAAGGAATTTCCTAACACACATCGGACTTTACAGTAATAATAACATATCAATTTCTAATCTCACTTAACGCGCTGCCAAGGAGTTTAAAAGGGAACAATGTGGGGATTAATCATAAATGCTTTTTTCAAGACCTAAGTGGGCAAGTAATTGAGTTAGAAAATCCATGTTGTAGCTTTGACTTAGTAAGTCAGAATAATGAAATAAGAAGTAGCTCAGCAGTAGCACAGCTCTGTCAAACACTCTCCTGCATGTGTGCAACATGTTAAGGTGAAGAAATCAAAGGGTGATTAAAGGACCAGCTGTAATAGTATTCACGATGCTAAACCCCTCAGCATTGTCAACATAATTTAAACTATATAAGCTAATTGAAATGAGTGGTGTGTATCTCACTCCCAACACTCAATCTAATGGGCAGCTTATTAATGTCCCCTAGTGGTTCATTAAGTTTTGATCTGCATCAGTCAGTCATTCTTGTTTTTTTCTCTGACTGGTGCATGGGGCTGCAACACATCTCTCCAACTTCCTCCAGTCTGGACTTCTCCATGCATCTCTCAGTTTGTAGGCGCAACACTAAAAGATCTGAATTCATTTTGTAGTCATGTAAATGACTAAATTTATCCAAGTGATATTTTGTTTTTAAAATGTTGTGGATATGAGATTCACAGTTTTTCACGGAGTTCCAGCTCTGCTGCAGAGTTTCAGAGAAATGAACGGTTTGTGTTAATTGAAGCTGAAGCTCACAGTACCCTGCCCTGTTTGTAGTGTATGTGTTAAAAAAAACAACGTAATGGAGAGTTAAAGTCAATATTTTCATCACACTTGTAGGTGCGACGACAGTCTCTGTAAGAAACACCAAAACAATCATGTGCTAACTCTTAACGTAGCCCTGCTATAAATCCCCTCTGTGTGGAGTGTGTCATGATCGGTTTTTAATGCTGACAGTGTCAGAACAGAAGAAGTGAAACATTCTGTAAAAGTTAAAATATGTTAAAGTCCTGCATTAGAATCCATTTAAGTACAGATGTCTTTAATTTAAAAATTAGATGAAAATCACAAGTGAGATATACAGTTATAAAGATATTATTACTGATGCATTCATGTCCAAATCTCTTGTTTTATGACAGTGTGTCTTTACTTTAACATAAATAACAATGTTTAGTCAATAAGGTGTCATGTTTTTTTTTGTTTTCTGCCGCCGTAACTTTATTTTGATCTCTCTCACAGGTACCGGAGTTTCATCCTCTTCCTCACCTTCCTCTTCTACACAGCCTACCATCTGTCCCGGAAACCTATCAGCATTGTTAAGGTGACTGACTCCATGTACAGGGTTTGCGTAGGAACTTGACGACTGTATGTCAAACGTCGCCTCTGGCATGAATTTGGAAATCGTGAAAAAGACATCCAAGTTATTTCACGTTTGTGTTGCTCCTCCTCTGTTTAAGCTACTATTGAACTCTGAATTTCTTACTAGTGTCCATGCAAAGTCGCAGATTATCTCTGAACATTAAACCACACGATGAGATATTTCACACCTTCATTGAGGCCATGAAAGTAAACGATCATTCTGAATCATTTGTCTCTGCTCTTTTAGGATCACTAAGAAGTGGCAGCATGTTTTCTACATCATTCAAATTCAAACTAGCAACAAAATCATTAGAGCAGTAGGACAAGCCAATAGCTCTTAAGGCACTGTGAATACCTAAAGGGAGACATTCCCTGAACATGTTATCGACTGTGGAAACATATTCAGGTGACCAACATATCCACAGTTTGTATCGTTTTCTTATTCATGAACTCACATGCTATTTATAATTTGAGATGACTCCTATATTCCAGCTGTGAGTTCCTTGTTATTCATACTTTACTCAGGCTTCTTCACACACTGCTCCCTGCATCTTCTTAATGATGATAATATTATCAAAACATCAAGTGATGACTATAAAACTGACATGAACAGTTTCCTTTGCATGCTTTGTTGCTGGTCTCGTTGTTTCATGTGCTTTCCTTCATGTTTTCCTGATACAGGGTCAGCTGCACAGAAACTGCTCCAATGTCGTCAAGCCCCCGGGCCTCAACATAACCGACAATGATACCTGGTGTGACTGGAAGCCTTTCGGTAACAGCTGTAGTTAGTTTTAGAAGAGCTTATCAGTGATTTTTTCAGAAATCAAAAAGTTATAAATAAGTTAAAAAAAAAAAAAAAATGTAACGACATTATTTTGAATTTTACGGGAGGAAATAGAGTAGAAGCCTCTCTTTAATCTTTAATAAGTTAAACCTAAGTTGTAGTGACACATTTCACATATAGTTATTTGTTTAAATACAGTATAGGAAGGTGTTTAGTTTAGGAACAGGTTTCCTCCGTCCTGCAGTCAGTCATGTGTTTCAGAAAACTCAACTTAGTAAGGTGGAGAAAAAGTCAGAATTCTAAATAATGTTTCTGTTTGCTTATCCTCAGACCAGGACAACTATCAGACCCTGTTTGGGGTCGTGGACAACTCGTTTCTGGTCGCCTATGCCATCGGCATGTTTATCAGGTAGGTGTGTTTTGTATGTTGCTGTCAGATCTTGTTGTGATTCAGTCCGTGTGTCTGTACTACATTGATTCATGGTCACTTCTTTATGTTCACAGTGGGATCTTTGGGGAGCGCCTGCCTCTAAGGTACTACCTGAGTTTTGGGATGCTGATGAGTGGATTGTTTACATGTCTGTTTGGCCTCGGCTTCTACTTGAACATCCACTCATTAGGATACTACGCCTTTATCCAGGTAAAGGCAGCACACCACAGTCATTCACTTTCTTTTAATGAGAGAGGCAGAAACGTTACCTTGTGTACCACACGGATCAGTTAGGGTGTGATGGCACGTTGACAATCCTGGGGTTGACTCTATGTTTTGTATTTACATTTTGATTTCATTTAAACCATGACCTGAATGAGGAATCTCTAAATCTGTATAATACTTCCTCGCACAATCTAGTGAGAGAGAGCTAAACTGCATACAACAAAGTGTGCTTAATGGGTGAAAGATGGGAAGCGCATAGATCAGATGGGCTGTTTTACAGCTGACTCAGCACCAGTCAGCTGTACCAGCACACAGATTTCCACACTCAACTAAACAGGAAATGAAAGTCTCTCAGTCCGTCAGATAAAGGCATGTTCAGAAGGGTTTTGTTTCACTTCAGGTATTTGTCTTTCTCGATCAGCAATGAAAACAGACCTTAAAAAAAGAAGCCATATTGCTGCTGTGGTTTTAACATGAAGAACAAACTCTGGCCCTTTTTTGCCTCCTGTTTATCAGGCAGCATCTGAAGATTATTTTTCTGAAATGATTAAATATA